TCAAGAGATCGAGACCATCCTGGTCAACATGGTGAAACCCCGTCTCTACTAAAAATACAAAAAATCAGCTGGGCATGGTGGCGCGTGCCTGTAATCCCAGCTACTCAGGAGGCTGAGGCAGGAGAATTGCCTGAACCCAGGAGGCGGAGGTTGCGGTGAGCCGAGATCGTGCCATTGCACTCCAGCCTGGGTAACAAGAGCAAAACTCTGTCTCAAAAAAAAAAAAAAAAAAGTGTTTTTGTTTCTTGGGGTTTTTTTTGAGGGAATCACTGAGAATGAGAAGAGTGAATATAAACGATAACCATCATCAGTTTAAATACTTACTTGCACATTTAACTGACTTCAGTATCTGCTACACGGGTAATGCCCTCTTGGAAGGTTTGTCCCAAACTCCTCATGGCTTCTCTCTCTGCAGCAATAAGAAGCTACTTCCCAATAGTTTCCTGATACCCCCTCTACCTTTGGGAACTTCTGAGGAAAGTTTTTCCAGCCTCTTCAGAGACCCTTCCATTTCTTCTCTTTTTGTTTTGACCCCTGACCACCACCCCCTACTCTAACCTTAACTCCTTTGATAATCAGTTCCAATCCTAACCCAGGCCCTAGTTCCTAAATTTATAACCCTTTAATCCTAGACCTGGTCTCTTGATCCTGAGCCCCTGATACTTACCTTCTAACCTCCTAATCCTAATCTCGAATCCCTAAACCCCAACCCATGAATTCTAACCTCTGATTGTCGAACCTCAGGTCCCCAACTGTAACTCCAAAGATGACAAGCCAGTACTTTTCCCCACCCTGAGTCACAGAGGGAGCTGTAGCAACTGAAACTGCAGTAGGCCAAAGGACCCAGTGAGTAAGCCGGCAAACTACATAGAAGATATGGTGGATTACAGCAAGCCTCAACAAATCTTCCTCGAAGATGAGCAACAAAAGTCTCAGTCATTTTGACTATACCTCTGTATCTCTACAAAGGGGCTTCAGTCAGCAAGTCATCTCAGCCCCTGAAAGGAAGAGAACAGTCCTTATAAGTTGCAAAGGTCTCAGACAGAGGACATGGATGGCTCAGTAAAGCTCTTGTTCTAGGATACAGACAGCAAAAGAAACCAGCAATACAGTAATCACCATGGCCCAGCAGATGAGAGCCACAGTCAGCATCACCACCCCTGAGTCTTCCCAGCATGATCATCAGACAAAGGAGAATTCACAGTAGTAATAAAAAACATTTACTAAACACTTAGTACTGACCAGGTGCCTCATTCAATGCTACCCTTAATGTGAATTCTGTATGTATACTATTCTTAGATATACTTTTTTTTTTTTTTGAGATGGAGTTTTGTTCTTATAGCCCAGGCTGGAGTGCAGTGGTGTGATGTCGGCTCACTGCAACCCCCACCTTCCGGGTCAAGTGATTCTCCTGCCTCAGACTCACGAGTAGCTGGGATTAGAGGCCTGCATCATCATGCCTGGCAAATTTTTATATTATTGGTAGAGATGGGGTTTCACCATGTTAGCCAGGCTGGTCTCAAACTCCTGACCTCAGGTGATCTACCTGCCTCGGCCTCCCAAAGGGCTGGGATTATAGGCCTGAGCCACCACACCTGGCCACTTAGGTATAATTTTTAACAAATTGATACTGCTAAAGCCTTGCTTAGATGGAAATTTGCAGCCTAAAATACATATCTTAGAAAAGAAGAAAGACTGGAAATTCAGTAAGCCTCTATCTCAAAAAGTTAGAAAAAGAGGAACAGAGCCTCAGAAACCTGTGGCACACCATCAAGCATATAATATTGTTATTATTTATTATTAACTATTGCTTTACGCAGTTGTCTTTTAAGTCATATAGGATAATAAAAGATTTACAAACAAAACCACATATTTATACTGTCTTTATAGTTACCTGTGTAGTTACCTTCACCAGTTCTCTTCATTTCCCCATGTGGATTTAAGTGTCCTTTCATTTCAGCCTGAAGTATTCCCTTTAGTGTTTCCTATAGGGTGGATCTCCTGGAGAGAAATTCTTTTGGTTTTTATTAGTTTTGTTGGTCTGTCTTACTTTCTCCTTCATTAGCTGGGATTACAGGCATGCACCACCACACCCGGCTAATTTTGTATTTTTAGTAGAGAGGGTTTCACCATGTTGACCAGGCTGGTCTCAAACTTCTGACCTCAGGTGATTCACCCACCTCAGCGTCCCAAAGTGCTGGGATTACAGGCGTGAGCCACTGCACCTGGCCTCTCTTTCATTTCTGAAGGATTGTGTTTATGGATATAGAATTCTTGGCTGGTATTTTTTTGTGTTAGCACTTTGAATATGTTATCCCACTGTTTTCTGGCCTCCATGTTTTCTAATGAGAAACTAGATGCTAATCTTACTGAGGATCATTTGTACTTAATGATTTGCATCTCTTTTGCTGCTTTCAAAAAAATTTTCTCTTGGTCTTTGGCTTTTGACGGAGATTATGATATGTATAGGTGTGGATTTCTTTGAGTTTGTCCTACTTGTGGTTTGCTGAGTTGCTTGGATATGAATGTTAACATTCTTCAAAAAATTTGAGATATTTTCAGCCATTATTTATTCAAATATCTTTCCACCTTTTTCTTTCTTCTTTCTCCTTCCTGGACTATCATCATTTTTATGTTGTTAAGCTTGTTTATATCCCACAGGCTTCCAGGGCTCTGTTCCTTTCTCTTTCTGCTCCTCACACTGGATAATGTCAGCCTTTCTTCAAGGTCACTTGTTCTTTCTTCTGCGTGTTTAGCCTCTCTAGTGAATTTGTCATTTTAGTTATTGTACTTATCACCTCAAGAAGTTATATATATATATTTTGAGATGACGTTTTGCTCTGTCACCAGGCTGGAGTGCAGTGGCATGATCTTGGCTCACTGCAACCCCCGTCTCCTGGGTTCAAGCGATTCCCTTGCCTCAGCCTCCTGAGACTACAGACACGTGCCACCATGCCCGGCTAATTTTTTGTATTTTAGTAGAGACAGGGTTTCACCATGACCAGGATGGTCTCAATCTCTTGACCTTGTGATTTGCCTGCCTCAGCCTCCCAAAGTGCTGAGATTACAGGAGTGAGCCACTGTGCCCAGTCAGAAGTTATATTTTTTAAAAAAATCATTGCTTTATGATGTTCTCTAGTTGTTCACACATCATTCTTATACTTTATTTCTTTAGACATAGTTTATCCCTTTGGAAAAATATGTATACATGTATGTATGTCTATTTTTTAAAAATAAGGTCTTGCTGTCCCTCAGGCTAGAATGCAGTGGCACAATCATAGCTCACTGTAGCCTAAGCCTCCTGGGCTCAAGCAATCCTCCCACCTCAGCCTCCTGAGTAGCTAGAACTACAGGCACATGCCAATATGCCCGGTAATTTTTAATTTTTTTGTAGTGATGGGGTCTCACTATGTTGTCCAGGCTGTTTTTGTTTTGTTTTGTTTTGTTTTGTTTTTAGACAGAGTCTTGCTCTGTTCCCTGGCTGGAGTGCAGTGGCGCAATCTCAGGTCACTGCAACCTCCACCTCCCAGGTTCAAGTAATTCCCTTGCCGCAGCCTCCCTAGTATCTGGAACTACAGTTGCATGCCACCACACCCAGCTAATTTTTGTATTTTTAGTATAGACAGGGTTTCACCATGTTGACCAGGATGATCTCAATCTCTTGACCTTGTGATCCACCTGCCTTGGCCTCCCAAAGTGCTGGGATTACAGGCGGGAGCCACCATGTGCAGCCCAGGCTGATCTTGAACTCCCAGCCTCAAGTGATCCTTTTACCTCAGGCTCCCAAAGTGTTGGGATTACAGGCATGTGTCACCTGCCTGGCTCAAATATATTTTAAATGGCTGATTTAAAGTCTTTGTCTAGTAAGTCCAACATTGGAGCTTTCTTAGCAACAATTTCTATTGACTGATTTGTGTGTGTGTGTGTGTGTGTGTGTGTGCGCGCCAGATTTTCTTGTTTCTTTGCATATGTCATAATATTTTGTTGAAAACTGGATGCTTTAAATAATATAATGTGGCAAGTTTGGAAATCAGATTCTCCCCTTCCCTGGGGTTTGTTGTTGCTGCTATTCATTTGTTTAGTGATTTTTATCAACTAATTTTTTATCGTCTGTATTCTTGGTGGTGTGTAACCATTGAAGACTGTTCCATTAGTTTAGTAGTCATCTAATGATTGGATATAGTTTTCAAATACTTAGAACCAATACATCTTTCTGCCTTTGCTGAGGTATTCTATATGTACGGAGCCATGCCTCCAAAGGTCAGGTATGCAGTTTACAACTCTTCTTTAGATTTTATTTCTTGCTATTCAGAGCCTTAAAGTCAGCCAAGGTGAGCACATAGGGTCTTCTAAAGATTCTCCTGGACATGGTCTTCTAGATTCCCAGAAATATGCCAGAGCTTTTCAAAAGCTTCTTGGACATTCTATTCTCAGCTTTTTCTTTTAAGTTTTTTTTGGTTAACTATTTGTTTGTCCTAAGTGTTATCATTGCTTAAGGTTGTTGCAAATTTAAAAAATTGAGGCTGTTTGTTTTTAACAAATGCCCCAGGGAAAAAGTTCTCAGTGAGAGAACTCTCAGTCAGGTTAAAACAAAACAAAACAAAAAGCCAAAAGGCAAGCCTGCTAGAAGAGGTCTCTAGGGAACTGCCAGGAAAATCAAATAACAATCATTTTCTGAAAATGATGTTTTTGGGGACCTCCAAACCTATTCTTCCCCATTTAGTGTCTTTTAGAAGGCTGGTTTCCACCAGGATTTCAGGGCTGGTTTAATTTAAAGCTACAGCAGAGTTGGAGTAGGGAGAATGGGTATAGGGCAAGTTAAAAACACCACAAAGCTTGCTCTTCTTACTAAAATTTTAGATTCTGTGGACATTTGCTCACAATCTGAGTAAGAACAGAGGGAACCTATGGCATGAGTCATGTCATTTTGGGATGAGAAAATAGAATACCTGATTTTTTTAAAGATTCTTATTAACCAAGAGAAATGTTTGCCAGCCAGCTTTTCTGCTGAGAATCATTTATTGAAGATAATAAATCAATGAGTTTGATCCAACCATTAGTAATTAAAGGGGATATACTTGAAGAGGCAACCATTGTGTTTCACTTGGCCATCTGGAGATTCAGCAGATTTTATAATTCTTTGTGGTATGTTCAAGAGTTTTCCTGCAAGAGAAGTATCTGTTTGGAGAAATCAAATTTAGGGAAGTTAAGAGGAAAATTCCCCACATTGGTAACCACAACTGTAGTTCAGCAGGGGAAATGCTAAACAACTATTCTCCGAATTAAGGCAGGTTAGAGACATTCTAAAATGTCATTGGAGAAGAAAAAAGCAGAGTGGAAGTGGGTGGAAAAGAGGAAGGCAAAGGATGTGGATGTCTGGGTGAGCCTTTGGACCCCAGAAGAGCCTCTGGAAACTCCCACAGACGGTAGAGGCAGTGGAGTAAACATGAAGCAGGGTCCTGGCAGAGGCCTGTTGGGGGACATGGAAGGCATAGAAGGTGGTATTAAAGAACAGAGCCGGGGCCGGGCGCGGTGGCTCAAGCCTGTAATCCCAGCACTGTGGGAGGCCGAGGCGGGTGGATCACGAGGTCAAGAGATCGAGACCATCCTGGTCAACATGGTG